ATCCCAACAGTTCCTGTCTATCCACTTACCCATTCCAGTCTTGCTCTTATTTCTGCAACTAGCTGATATTTAAAAGATCAGAGTAAACAGAAGCAAATCAGTTTCAAAATAACACATCTAAAGCTACAAAATTTCCTCCATTTGGACACTTAGATAGGTTGCCATCTTTTTTAATTGTTTACATAGTTAAAAATCTTTAAAAAACTAATAAATCTATCACAAGTATTAAAGTAAAAATTTTGCTATATATAAACTGCAATAAAATATCTGAGGGAAATGCAGTTTTTTTTCACTCTGCTTCCTTTATTTGAAGTTTAAATTAAACACTGAATTGAATTATCAACACAATAATACCTTCTTTGAGAAAGTCCTTTCCAGCTACAAATATAGGTACAGGGACATAGTCACTCAATAAAGACGAGCAAAACATCTACAATGAACAAAGATCCTTTCCCACCTCAATCTGATCTCCTCCAACAGAACACCCTCACCTTTACCACACCCCTCTACAGGTTACGATTAGCCATGAACAAAACATACTACAAGGGACCATAATCCATATCCCAGTATGACCTTTCATTAGCGAATGCTCTTTTCTGAACACTCAGTTACAATACATTTACTTTGCCTGATGTTTCTTACTTTTTTTTTTTTTTTTAATTTTTATTCTGGCCTAAAGAAATTGCTAGGATCTTAGGAATTCCTTCTACAATTTTCAACTTCTTGATTTCATTTCTTTATTCAAAGGTCTTTAATAAAATAAACTCAAATACAACCCTCAATATTTTGGGGTATAGTCTTAAAATTATTTTTTTGCAATCATGCATTCTTTTTCAAAAATACACTCGTAAATAAACACCACTTGGTTCTCATAGATGTTTTTGGCGGGGGGTGTCTTTTTGAGACAGGGTCTCCCTGTAGTCTCAGCTGGCCTTGAACTCACAGAGATCCACCAGCCTCTGCCTCCCCAGTGCTGGGATTAAAGGCATGTGCCCATCAACAAACCTGACACCAGCTAAGTGACAAAAACTTTACAGATGTAAACAGTAGTATCTCTCTCTACAAGCGCACAGTATAATTTTTTAAAACCTTGCAAGTTATGGTGGCTTTTTATTTCTATATCCCATGGATGGAATTTTCAAAGTTGAGCCAAAATGGATAATAAAAGCTGAGGAAAGGAGTATGAACTAAAAGGTTTGTAATAGTCTATATCCTAACTGGTCCCAAAGGAGCAACATGGGAACCATGGGGACTCCCTTAGAAATGACAATCTCTTGGTTATTTATATGCATACTCAAGTCAGGGAAGCACTGCTAGACCCATTCTATCACTGCATCCTCGAAACCACCTGGGAATTGGACTAATACAAATCACAAAGGAGGAACACCAAGCTAAAGAAGGTTAGACTTTATTAAGAAATTTTAAAGCTCTCACTACTGTGAGATGGGATTCAAATTCAAATATGTTATATTAAAATAGTCTAAGCTGGTCATGGGTGTCCTAGCACTGGGGAGGTAGAAGCAGGAACACTGCCAGTGCTCTGCCTGTCCAAGGTACAGAGTGAGACTTTGTCTACATACACACACACACACACACACACACACACACACACTCACAGAGCCAGTGCTCTGCCTGTCCAAGCTACAGAGTGAGACTGTCTACACACACACACACACACACACACACACACACACACAGCCAATGCTCTGCCTGTCCAAGCTACAGAGTGAGACTTTGTCTACACACACACACACACACAGAGCCAGTGCTCTGCCCATCCAAGCTACATAGTCAGACTTTGTCTCAAAACAAAACAACACACACACACACACACACACACAACCAAAAAGCCAAAACCGAAAGGAAACAAAAACAATCTTTCTACAAAGTCGTTGCTCATTAAAAAAAAAAAAAAAATAGCTTTATCTAAAACTTGTTTTAAGCTACATACCTAATTTCAAATTTTCTACTAGATGCATTATGACTAACAAAAAGCAGGAAAGCAGGTAAAATTAAGTCATATATTTCCTTTAACTCAACGTATCTACAATGTTGCCATTCTAATATGTATCCAATATAAAATCAATATGATACTCTGCACTGCCTGTGTACATTGGAAATCCACTATGTACTTTATACTCTGCACAACTCAAAACTGGCAACATACTAAGTACTCCATGTGCTTTGTAGTTACCAACCTAGACAAAGGAAAGCAAATCTACAATGTCCTGTACATTGACAATTTTACACACACACACACACACACACACACACACACGACAAATTGTTACAATAGTCACTGAATAGAAAAATCGAACTCTGTATGGACAGCTTTGCTGAACATACTTAACTGCATATTCTGCTGTGATCAAAGTTGACAAGTTTAGGTGATCCCAATTCTGTCAAACTGACCCACCAACTACAACTTTGAAAAAAATTATACTGTCAAAGGGCAGAAAACAGGGCACATATTTAACATTCAGAAAAGTCATGTGAGGAATTCAGAAAATTGTTTTCACATAATTACACTGATCTATTAAGAAAGTAACACAAAAGTCAGGTATGGTGGTGCATGCCTTTAATCCTAGCATGAGATCACAGTGAAACTGAGGCCAGCCTGGTTAGGCTACAGAGGGAGGACCAGGTCAACTAAGGCCACATAAAGAGACCCTGTCTCAAAGAAAAAAGGAAGCAACACAAAAAGAGAAAGGAAACGAGTTATCCCTTAGCAATTGTGGGGAAAAAAAGCGACAAACCAAATTCATATATATTGATTCAGACGTTAGCAGTGAATTAAATCTTTAACCATTCAACCAATTAAACAGAAAAAAATACAACTGAAAATGAAATACTATTTAGATATTGCGACCACTAAAGAAAATTATGCACTATAATTATCTGACTGTACTATTAATCCCCATGTGAACATTTAGGATTAATTACAATTGCATTTTTCAAGTCAGTCAAACTTTCTTTAAAAGCCCACTTTGTCCCTAGATAATAGGCATGAATAAATGTTCTTTGAAAGAACCAACCAAAGAAACACTTATATAAACACAGATAAAGATATAAATATCAACATATAAATATTTGAAGACTTCCTGTGTTTTCTTTTTTAACAGCTAAGGTTTAAAAAATAAGACTTTACCCTTTATTCAAAATACACAAAATAGGAAACATTTCTAACTTTTTGCATATAATTCAATATATACTTATTTAAACATGTGTACACATTTACTTCCATAGATATATATCTATTCGAAATACTAGAAAAGGGAGATAAGGTGTGATTTAATAGATACATCTTAAAATTTCCTAAGCAATATTCCCAAATTGACAAATGTGTAACTAGATGTCATAATGTATCCACTTTGCCCTTCATTACCAAATCAGTATGCAAACAGCACAAGTCATAACTGCAAACAAGCCTTCAGTCAAGACTCACTTCAGGTAATGCTGTCCTATTATTTTAGGAAGTCTTTGCCTCCTGGTGCATCATGGCCTTTAAAAGCATCATTATATGACACTGTTTACTGCCTTCACAGTCTTCATATTCGAGCATAAACCTTTAAATTCCTCCACTGTAAAGTGCGCTTACATTTTATTGCAATAAAACATGAGATGAAACGTGAACAGGTCTCATCCATTAATCATATCAAACAGTTGTTTCAAAGCTAGCAACCATTCTGTAAATAAGAAAGTCTCATTAGATGTGTGACCTTAGTCAAATCTTTCTCCCATCTTTGTGACTTCACCGTCCTCTGTAATTCTACAGTTCTAAATGTTTTAATTAACAGGCATTTAACAGCAGGTTTTGTATTAATCATAAAGGTAAGAGTATAAACAAAGGTAGTTGCAGCCTAATGTTAACATACTTTCTGTACTCATAAAGATTGTTCCTAATCCAGCCTGTTGTGTCACAAATTTAGACTCCTTTATCATGGCAAACAGGCAAAGAACAGAAAAGGCTCAGTGTCTTCTACCACTAACACTGGGAAAAAAAGGATTTCAAATCCCAAGGGGGAACTGGTTAAACCTTCCAAGTTAGTTTGACACAGAAAATATGTTTAAGGATCAATGTGAAAAGATTTATTTTTATTATTGTCCTCTTCCAAGTCAGAGAATTATCTTGGAGCCTTAAAAAAAAAAAAAAGTATGCTTCATTTTTTGACAATTTAGTGAAAACTTTACTGGTTGCCATGTCTCCTAACAGAAAAAAGGGCATTTCCTTTTGCCTTCCTCTTATCTAATGACTAGCTATTTGGACAAGGTTTCCCTAGGACTACAATTCTACCAAGTTTTTAACCAGTATGTAACAGAAACCTTTCCATGTTTGCACCAGGGTTTTCATTCTGCCCACGATATTATATTGGCCCACCAGAGATATAAACTCTAAAACCAAGCGCTCCACTTTAGCAGATCCAAAGCCAAAACAAACACATCCAAAAATCTATTTTTAGAGTGGCACTCGCTCTTGAGTTTTCTCTTTAAAATGAGATTTGCCTGACCTATTTTCATGTGTTTTTACTGCACCCAGAGGCTTACCAAACTATACTTGCTAGTCAATTAAAAAATAATAATAAAATAAAATAAACCCTTCCAAACCAGCATCAGGAACCTGAGGAAATTTTCTTCATGTGTCTTAATATGCCACGTCCTTTAAAAGTCTATATATTCACTTACTGAAATGTTGTAAGTTCAATGATTACATACCACCTTCAATGTGCAAGTTACAGGTTCTCATCCCATTTGTCACACACACACACACACACACTGGGATCGGGGTGTAAAAACACAACCCTGGCAACCTGAAATATCAAACAAAGCCCTTTCTATCTCCTCTTGGCTTTCTTCTCCCCTAAGTTCTATAGTATTTGGTGTTATAAAAAGAATTTTAAAATGTTGAAAACTTGAGAAGTATTCAAGTAGCATCTAGAGAAAAATAAAAACATAAGATGTAGTTGCTAGAATACGTGTACTAACAGTGCAGGAGAATTTACCTATGAGAAGGACGGTTCCATCTCTACGTCCTCAAAAACAATGTCACGGCCTTGCTCTAAAAGCATTCAGGAAAACAAAACAGTGACAATGGGAATTCCATACCCTGTGAGATGGGATGGAAGGTAGGGAGAGACTCCGCACCCAGAACAAAGCGCAGCCTAGGCTCCCCGGCTGCAGCAGGGTGGGGAGGAGGCCCCGCGGGTCCGGGACTCCTCCCGGAGGTTTCCAGGCTGCAGTACCGTCAAAACAAGGAAGAATGCTCAAAGACGGATTTAGCCAGCGCAAAGTGGAGGCAGGACTGCTCTGCTCCTGTTAGGCAAGACCCAGCTGCAAACCCGAAGGGAGGCATAAAAAGAGCCAGGGCCGGACTCCCTCAGGACACGACAGGGACAACGGCCCCGAAACCGAGCGCCTAGAGCGGGAAGGAAGCAGCCCGCCGCCCGCAACCAGAGGCCACGGCCCCGCAGAGCCCTGCGCCCGGGACGTGCGCAGCAATGGCCAAGCTCGTCCAGCGCCGTGCCCGTCATAGTTCCCGGCTGCGCCAGCAGCTCCGCGGGGGCGGAGAGCTCGGCCTCCCCTCCGCGCACCCGCCCGGGCCGCGCCGGCCAAGGGCGTCCATCTCCTACCGGCCTGACCCGCCGCGGCCCTCCCAGGTCCCGGCCGGCCGGTCCGCAGCGCATCGCGGCAGCACTGGCGCCGACCGCCCCCCGCTCGGAGCCCACGGAAGCCGCACCCGCAAGCCCCGATAGGCCGGCCCGCCGCCCACCTCTGCGGTCACCACAGTGGCCACCGCGCAGCCTTTTCTCCTCGGCCTCGGAGCCCGCAGCGGACGGGGACGCGCGCGGCCGTCACGTGACCGCCGGCGCTCTCGGGGGCGGGGCCGCGCGAGCGGAAGCTACGCCCCACCAGCGAACGCGCGCGGGTGCGCGGGGAGGAGGGGCAGTCTCCGGTCTGCTCCGTCCACGCTGCGTGCAGCCGTAGAGGGGTGGCTCGGCGTGCGTCCTTTCCCCTCTCCCTGCCTGCTTTGCTCCTCTCCGCCTGGACTGCACGGCAGGTCCACCCTAGAGATCTGCCCCCGAGTCAGCTCTTCAGAACCGGGAGGTGTGCCCGCCCCCCACGCCAGCTTTGTGACCCCAAAGAAGCCAGTGGGCGCCTGAGTTTCAGTTTGAAGCGCCCTTAGGAAAGTACTGCATGTTCATTGAAACTATCCAGGCGCGGAGCGCAGGGGAGAGGCCCTTACAAATGGCTAATGAGGAGGCAGGGGTCTAATGTCCCTCAAAGGCTAGGGCATAGGAAGCGAGAAGAAGTCGGTTTAAGAATCCAAAGTAAATTTCATGTGTTATTTTAATGGCAGGAGTATAGTTATAAACATCAAAATTCTGGCCGTTGTTCATTTAGCGTGTACGTGGTCATTTTCAGAACTGAGCAAAATTTCTCAAGTTACAGTTAAATGGAGGCGCATGCCTTCTAGCTGGAAAGTATTTCCGCGTTCTGTAGCAGTAACTTTGTATTTGTAACAATGTTGTATTTTCGGGTTTCATTAACTGTTTTATTCAGGATTGAAATTCTCCGGGTTTTTTTATTAATAATGGTAGCTGCAAAATAGAGCTTTTGCACCAGAGGGAGTCAGAATTTATTCTGAGACACGACTGTGGCCCCAAAGCATGGATTGGGGTTATTGTGAGTGAGCTGTTTCTCTGGAAAATAAAACATGAACTTTTATAGTCACAGAACAGAAGGAAGTTACACATCAATGCGTTTACCAAGTGCTTTGATGGGAACAGGACATCAGGTAGGTAGGTGAGTGTGTGAGTATATTGATCTATAGGATTCAGATGTTATAACATTCTTAACTTCAAGATTGACAAAAGGCTAGGCTCAGTGGTAGGATGCTTGTCTAGCATGGTGTGAGGCCCTGGGTTCAATACCTAGTACCTCCATGGGGAAAAAAAAAAAAGTTGCATGCCAACTTTCAATACCAAACAGTCACAAAAGATGTTAGGGGAAATGATAAAGGAGTTCGTAGCAAATGGCTATCAAGAAGACTAATACCCAAAAAATGCGGCTCTGGTTCTACAGCATTCTTTTGACCCACAATTGCAAAGTTTAGTCTGCCAATCGTTTGACAGGAATCTTCACAGATTCAGCTGCTTAGGGAAACACGCACACATACACATGCTGATGTGTAACAGTCTCTTGGTGTTAGCTACTTCCATGACTTCTAAGTAATACAGTTTTCTTATAACTTTAACAATTAATGTAGAAATATTGGGGGGGTGTTCTAGTTTTACCCCTCTGAACAGGTAATAGTGCAATTTTGATGCTGACTTCAAGATTCTAGCTTGAAGGGACAGTAGTATTAACTACCAATGTGCAGGCATTATTCCAAGTGCTTTACACTCATTTAAGCCTCTGCAATAATCCAGTGTGGGTTCTATTACTGTTCCCATTTTATAGAAACAGGCACACAGCTGGGATTTGAACTCGGGTAGAGACTGCAGGAGGGCACGTGGTCTAACTCATTTCCTCAATTAGGAAATGACTTCCGTAAAGACATTCTTGTTTGAGAGAAGCTGGAATCAGAACATAAATCAAAACAAGTAGTTGCCTGGCCCCTACGTCTAAATTAGGCAAAGGCTTTTTTTTTTTTTTTTTTTTTTTTTTTACAGCTCTTCAGTCACTCTGGGTGCTTGTTTGGCACAGATTCCCTAAATTAATGTTGGGAAATAAATTCTGTCTGCCTATCAAAAGACATAAGACAGTGATGAATCATCAGAAAGCTTACTCAATACTGTCAGAGTCTACCTCTCTCATACATCTTTGCCTTTTCAATAAATGGCTCTATCCTTGTCCAAATGCATCTTTTATTTTTCTCTTTTGTCCATATTCATTTTACAAATAATTTCTTGGTTCTCTCTTCAAAACACATCTAGGATTCTACCATGTTTACTACAATCATATTATCTTTAAATAAATCCATTAAGAAGGAAGTGAGGTCATACATTCTTCTGTTCAAAGTCTCCCTTGGCTTCTCAGCAGGAAGCAAAGCCAAAGGCTTGCATTCTCTTGCATTTCCATCCTTTCCTTATTGCTTCCCAGACCTGGAAGTCAGCTTCCTCTACTCACAACACCCTACATAGGCTCTTGGACCCATTCTTAGAAGCTGCTGTTTCCTCTGCTTTGAACACTCTTCCCACAGTAGCTTGTTCCCTCCTTCTGTGCTCAAACATCATTTAGTCTTCTTCCTGCTTCTGTATTTTAAATCCCTATCATTCGTTTACTAAAAATTCTTATTCTCCTTGACATATTCTATTTGGTGCTTACCACAGTCAAGTATGTGTACATCCATTGTAACGGATGTTTCTTTTAGCTTGCACGTCTTTGTTATTATTTATTTTTATTTTATGTATATGAGTGTGTTGCCTAGATGTATGTAAGCCCAGCTGTGTGTGCAAGCCCAGCCAGAAGAAAGCGTCAGATCCCCTGGAACTGGAGTTACAGACAGTTGTTAGTTGCTGTGTGGGTGCTGGGAACCTAATGTGGGTACTCTGCAAGAGCATCAAGTGCTCTTAACTGCTGAGCCTTCTCTTCAGCCCCAAGTTTGCACGTCTTTATTGTACCTCTCTCTGTGCTACAGCATAGGATTCAGCTATACAACATACGGCAAGAATTTCTGTTCAGTTTTGTGTGTTATGATGGATAATCTTGTCAACTTGATGAGATTTAGAGTCAACATGGAAACAAATCTCTGCAACAGCCTGAGAAGGATTATCTAGATTAGGTTAATCGAGGTAGGAAGACCTACCTTAAATGTGGGAGGCACCATTTCATGGGCTGAGGCCTTTAGACCACATAAAAAGGAAAAAGTGAACTGAGCACCAGAATTCACCACTCTCTGCTTCCTGGTTGTGGATACAGTGTGACCAGCTACCTCAAGCTCCTGTTGCCATGACTTCCCTACAGTAATGGACTGTACCCTCCAATTGTGAGCCAAAATAAACCCTTTGTTCCTTAAGTCTCTTTTGTCAGGGTATTTTATCACAGCAGCCAGAAAAGTAACAAATACAGAGGACAATCACCAGGAATAGTCCTTACCATATTTAGACAAGTTCTCCACAAATGTCCTGAATGAATGAATATATGCAGATAGGAAAATCTACATGTTTACATGTTCATACACACATTTACATGCTAAATAATATATAAACGAAAAAGTGAATCTGTTACTTTTCAGCAACTATAGGTGAAGACAATAATTAAATGTATTAAATACTGTTTACCTCACGTTCACCAGCTTTCTGATAGTGATGCGTTTCTTTCTGCACAATACATCTTTCAATGCTATCACGAGTGTTTTTAAAGTACTTAGCTTCCCATAATTATTAAACACTGAAACATTCAAAGTAGTTACTTAAAGAATACAATTAGAGCCTAACAGGTAGAAGACGTCTATGCAACAATGTTCCTGTCAGTGGCTGTTTTGTGTCATTGAATTAACGATAAAGGAGTTGCAGCTGCCACCTAGGAATTGCCCGTATTTGTGCCTTACTGTTTCCAACTTGCTCAGTTCCCCCATGGAATACTTTCATGGTTACACATATCATCAGGTAACCACTTTTTTCCATATGTCCTCACTGAACCCCAAGTTTTCTTGTGTTCTTTGCTTAAAGAATCAGAGTAATTCATTTCCTAAAAGGCATCTAAAATGTACATGAGAAAATCATGTATGTTACAGTAGAATGTACGTATGAAGCATGGTGTACTGGTTAGTTTTTGTCAATTTGACAAAAACTAGGGTCATCTGAGAAGAAACCAGTTGAGGAATTTTCTCTATCAGACTGGCTTACGGGAATGTCTATGGGTAATTTTCTTGATGGTGGATGTAGGAAGGCCCAGTTCACTGTGGGTGGTGCCATCCCTAGGCAGGTGGGACTGGGCTCTATAAAAAAAGTAGCTGAGCAAGCCAAGAGGAAGCAAACCAGTAAGCAGCATTCCTCCATGATTTCTGCTGGAGTGCTTGCCTCCAGGTTCTGGCCTTGAGTTCCTACTGACTTTCCTCAAAGATGGACTGTACTTTAGAAGTGTAAGATGATATAAACACTTTCCTCCCCAAGTTGGTTTTTAATCAAT